CCCGCTGCGCCCGCGCCGGCCGCAGGGTGCGACCGCGTCCCCCGAGCCCACAGCCTGCAGCGCGCCCCGGGCTCACTCACCGATCCTGAGTACTTGCGGGGCGGTCTGGGGGAGCACGGAGCCGAGGAAATAGAGGAGCGCCCAGCTGCTGCCCCTGGTCCAGCGCCCGGGCTGGGCGAGGAGTGTGCGGCGCTGCATCTTCCCGGCGCCTTCATTCATGCCAAGAGCCCGCGCGGCCGCACGTCCCCGAGATGCAGCCCGCGCCGGCTGGGCCCCCGCCTCATCCTCCCCGGGATGCTCGGCGTTGGCGCCCTGCGCGCTGCCCTCCGGGAGAGACCGCGGGAAGCGGCGTGGGAGCGCGGAGCGGGCGGCTGGGCAGGCGGGCGACGCTGGGCTCGCTCCGTCTCCGGGCTCCGGGCTGCTGCCGCTAGCCCATCACTGCTCCGCGTCCTCCTCCGTGGGCCTCAGGCCGCCCAGGACCAGCGCGCTCCGGCGCCCGGAGCCCGGAGCCCAGCAGAGGAAAGTTGCTGCCCCAATTTGCGGGAACGTCTCCCTCATCCGTCCTCTGGTCAGATGCAAAAGTGGGGAGTAGGAGGCGGTGCGGCGAGGGAGGGAGGGGAGAAGGGAAAAAAGGCAGAGCTGGAAGGAGAGAGGGGACTGGGTGAGTTGTGCGGGGGCTCTGAGTACGCAGGGTGAGCCCCGGGGAGTTTAACTGGGGTCGGATGCACGCTCCGGCTTCCCTCAGCCCTGCTTTCCTCCTCCCTCGCTGGCCCCACCCTTTGTTTACTGCCCGCCCCGACACCACCGAGCCAGACACACTCGCAAACGCACACGCACATTCTCCTTCTCCCTCAACTTCGCGCTTTGCTGCTGGGAAGTCCACAGAGCGAGGCATCCTGGAGACAGAGCGAATGGAACCTACTGGTCAGGACGCAGCGTCTCTGCCACGGGTGGTGAGACCTTGGCAAGATCTGTTAGGGGGTCAGAGGAGGCCAGCTAGGACTTCCCATCACTTGATGAAGGATCGCCTTCTCTGATGCCAGGATTTCAGAGAATAGCTGAGCTCTGTGTTAACTCGGACAGCAGGAAGACGAGGAGGAGGGGGTCAGGAATGGGAACCGTTCAGTACTGGAAGATGACAGTGGCTCCTTCTTTATTGAGACTCGAGATAAGGTCTTGTAAATTGCTTCCATTTACACGTGCAAAGCTGGGAAAGACTCAGCTTTCAATGCTGCTGCTTTTCTTGATTTCTTTAGGCTGTCACATTTGAACGCTCGGTAGATAGGCTATTTTAGCAATGTAGGTTTGGAGACTTTGTAGAAGGACAAGGACACTTCTCAGGGGAAATCATCAGCATTTGATTATTTTGGCTTAATTTCCTTCGAGCTTTGTCGGAAATGTTCTATATCAATGTCTGCTGGCTCCCCACTAACACTCATAGGGATCTTATTTTCTCTCTAAGTATAGATGTTGGAGAACTGAACTAAACTGAGCTCATCTGTCTATAAAAATGGCCTCAGCTATTTGGGCCTAAGATATTCAGATATTCAAAAATGAATGCAATACACCTGAAGATACATTCATTCATTCACTCAACAAATACCTACTGGTATCTTGTGTATGGTACCAAGCACTACATTATTCACAGATAACGTTATAGCTATTTCATTACTAGAAATAGCTCATATTTCAAGTAGTATACCTATGTCTGGGCACTTTGGAGGAGGGTTGACAAAACACAAAAATTCCACAGATTGAAAGGGTTGATCCAGAGTTAGGAACTCATATACAAGTTTAAAAAACTGAGAATTAAGGACATATGCAAGCCACCTACAGAAATTTGATGAGCTTTTGTTCTTGAAGGAGAGTAGCCTTAGTCAATATTAGGTGAGAAGAAATAAGAGCAATGAAAACTGTAGGTTGGAATTTACTGCACTTTTAGTCATGGGGAGAGGGACATTTCTGTCAGCAAAGTATCCAACAGTGGTATGATCTGCTTCAGAAAAGAAACACGTTCTTCCTTCCTTCCTTCACCATCCATTGGTTCATTCAACACTCACATACGTGTCTAATATGTAGAAGGCATTTTGCTAAACCCTGCAGAAACAGGGAATGGACGCTGCCATCATGAAGCTAATCAGTATTAAAGAAATGTAATGAGTTTCACAAAATGGTACTATGGAGATGGAGAAAAGAGGATTGAGCCTCACATAGGAGTTTGGGATGATCTTGATGAGGAAGTAATGCCTCAAAGCTCAGAGAATGGGTAGATTATATGTGATCAATAAGCACTTCTTATAGCAAGAATGAAAAGAAAACCTGTTAGTGGATATAATTTTAATCCTAAGCATTTGCTTGGCTGGTTCCTACCTGTATCTAGTTCTCTTCTTCACAAGCCTATTCAAACTTGCCCACTGAATGTGAGCAGAAGTGTAATGCACCATTTGTGGGTGAAAAGAAAGACAATGAAATGATCTCACAGGCTGGAACTCTCTTCTTTTGCCCAAGGAACCCTGAAAGCTTAAGTTCTAGAGGTCAAGGTAGAAGCATCCTGAAACCTTTCAGAAAGGGTTGCTCTGAATAGTTGTCAGACCAGCAACAGACTGGTGATGAATTAGTGATCCATCAATTTTATATTGTAATTCACTACAATTTGAAGGTGTTTGTTACTGTAGCATATTGAACTTTATACTGACTGGTAAATTCTCTTAAGTCTTCATCACTGCATCTGTAAAATCAAAATAATAACAAAATAGGGCTATTAGAGGATTATAAGAGCTATGCATATAAAGAATTCCCCTTGACCGTTTTTTATTCAGTATGTATTAGTTCACTTAAGGTAATTATTATTATTGTTATTATTATTATTTTGGTTAAGCAAATTCATACATGCATTTATAGTTTAAAATGCTTTAGATGGCAGACATGCAAATGTTTTCTGGTGAGAGATTAGTTAACAATATGGATCCAACTAGTTGTATAGTCACAGTGATTGGTCCAGTATTAGTTCAGAAATTTTACTACTTTTTACCTGCATTACCTTTGGGCAATAGGTAAACAATTCCCATTGGTTGTTAGGACAGCAGAAAGATTGCATATCCTACAGAGGTCTTAAAGAATTCATATCACACTTAGGTTACTTTTTTGTGTCATCTATAAAGTTCTGTAAACCTTAAGCCTGGAATTTATTTTCTTGTTAAAATTCTTCTGTCCATTGCTTCTGTACATGGGCTCATGGCGTTGAGTTACTCATGAGTGATCAACAGCTGCTGTTAACTCATTTTGTGCTTTTTGGAAGGACGGTATTTTGTGTATAGTTGCATCACATTATTTTCTTTTTATCCAAAATGACTTTGTTAGTCATATTTTTCAGAGTGCCCTTAATCTTGAGGATAAAAGTGCCCACTTGGATGTATGCCTTTTTTTTTTTTTTTTTTTTTTTTTTTTTGGTCAATCTCTGGATCTAAGATTACAGGGATCTTCTGTGTTAATAATGTAGCTCATAGTGGAATGTGGCCCTGGTGAGATCACTTAGATGCTAATCCATTTAAAATTACTGAATTTTTAGAAGATTAATAGAAACAAAGAAAATAGCTTAGAATAAACTAAGGAATTCAAATGTTATAACGAAGGTTTTGAAATGTGTTGAGTGACTTGAGTATACTGATAATGTTGCCCAGGATGCTAAAAGCAAGATATATATCAAGGGGCTTTTAGAATATTCTGGCAAGTTCTGATGTAGCTGGTTTAGGTTCAAAATCCTTATTTTCTGACTACTGTTATAGTTTTTCTCTACTTTTATTCTATACCCTTCCCCCTAGAAACCAATGTTATCTGTTTCTAAGATATTAAATACCTTTAAACTAAGGTCTTTAAATTTATAACTGTGACTCAGAACTTGCCTGGAGATCCTCACAGTCATTTCTCATGGCAATTTCTAACATACCAAACTCGTGATTTTTTGCCAGATTTTTGCCTCCTCCCAAGTCCTCTTCCAGTTTTTTTCATTTCAACTGCATGCCACTTTCCATCCAATTATTAAACCTGAACACTCAGGAGGTCATCCCTAGTTTCTCCCTGATTTTATTCCTTTGGTCACTTTTCATACACTGTGGGCTTTACCTCTAACAAAATTTTGTAAGCTGTTTCTCTACAGCTCCGCTGCTATCTTTTTACCCTGCGGCTTCTCAAACTCAGTATTTTGGACATTTTAGACTAGAACATCTTTTTGTAGTGGAGGCTTTTCCGTGTGGTGGGATGTTTAGCAACTTCCTGGGCTCTAGCCACTAGATGTCAGTAGTACCCTCCTTCCAAGTCGCAACCACCAAAAAATGTCTGCAGACATTGCCAAGTGTCCTCTGATCCTCTGAGGTGTGACATCACCCTGGTTGAGAACCACTCTCTTGGTGCAAGTCACCCCAGATTTCTATCTGGTCTGTTACAATTCACATTTTATAATCCTTGTCCTCCCCACTCCCAACTGCCTCTTTTTTTTTTTTTTTTTTTTTAAGATTTACTTATTTGTGCAGACAGAACTTGGGTACAGGCCAGAGGTACAGGGGCGATGGGAGGATTCACTAGAGACAGAGTGGGGAGCAGAACAGGCTGACTGACAAAGTACACTGCTGAGGGGAGCAGCAGGCAGGTCAGGAGAGATCTGCTGTGCCATGTGGGTCACTCCTGGGCTGGGCACGAACTCATGGTGAAGTGGCTTTCGCTTCTCAGTGCTGTGCTTTAACTCGCTGTGCCACCAGGGAGGGACCCTTCTGCTCTTTTATCCATTCTGCCCATCTGACCTAGTCAGTGCCTGTCATCAGTCTTCTTCACATTGGCTCCTGATCATTATCAATTCTCTCAGTACTTATTTACATTACTATAAGCTCAGTGATGGTAGACTGTCTATTCTGTTCACCTGAAGCCTCATCATGTATCATTCTGCTAGCACTGGGAGTCTTCATAGATGCTCATTAAATGATTGATTGAATGAATGAATGAATGAATGAATGAAATTTCATAAGGCATACAACCCACAATTCATAAGTGAACATTTGTATGACAACTAAAAAATGAATCAGCTTTTTGTTTGATTTCATTCAGAGCTCTGAAATGGATCACTTTATATTTAGTGCTATCCTCTGCTGATAAATATAGCCTACTGTGTCTAATGTAATCTTACATGTGCTTCCTCAAATTTCACCAAAATGCTCTATGGAGTAGGGGTTTCTCCTAACATTTTATTTTTCATCCATGGCTATCATTACACAAACCTTTAACAACTTCACAGTGATTGGCTTACTAACTTGGGTTCATTGGCTAAACCCCCATGAAAAGCAAATGTTGCAAAATCTTGACAGGAAAAAAATATGTCTTCTTTCTTCATATCTTTACATCCTATGATACAATCTGAGAGCATAAAAAAAATCAGACAGGATGATCAGAAACAAGTTAGCATTCGGCTACCTCCATCCATAAAAATGAGGTTCTTCCAAGGCTGAAGACTAGAAGACTCAGGGTTAGGAGACTTGCTTTCCAAGGTTACCCTTATCACTGATGACATAAGTCACATGATCTTTTTAGCCACAGTTATCTGACCCTTCATATGGCTTCTCTATATCCCACATATAAGTGAGACCACCTGGAATCTGTCTTCTGACTTACTTTGCTTAGCACCTCCCTTCCAGTTTCATCCATTTTGTCATAAATGGCAAGAGTTCATCTGTACCTTTTTAACAACTGCATAGTATTCCATAACGTTCATATTATTTTTACTGGTTTAGCTTTGTTGCCATGACCCTTGAGATGGCCCCTGATATTTACATGTCCATTTTACAAAAGAGCACACTGAGACTTAGAGACACACTGTTTCCATGAAAAAATGCTAAAGTGTAAGACAGATGTGAAAAACACAGTTCACTTTGGAATGAGATGTAAGAAAGACTGCTCTCAGGAAAGAAATTTTACACCTTGCCTTGAAAGGGACTTGGGAGCTACTGAAAGAAGAGGAGAATCACATTCCAGTCAGAGAGAAGGCTCAAATTGTGGGAAGCTTCTACTTGTAAATATTTGAAATAAGGCCAGTGTGACTGGTATGAACTGCTGGAGAGAGGGTGGCACCTGATGTGATGGGAAATGGAGCCCTTCCCTAACACTAACACTGGACAAGGCCATGTGCTCCTCTGTACCTGGCTCCTTTCCTGACTTTGGCTCTTTGTCATTATGCGCTGTCAGGCTGAGTCCCCACCACACAGTCCACAATGACCACAGCATCTCCTTGTTTGGCTTCTGGGATTCCTCTTCATCTGTCTCACCTTTCTTTTCACTATCATTTTCTGGTCCTCAAATATGGTCACCTTTCCAAGTCTCAGGATATTTTCCTGAGCTGCTCTCAGTAACTGGGATATTATCTTCCTCTCATTGCTCTTATTAAAGGATTATTCATGCTGGAGTAGACCTTCCTTGGCCCAGCAGGAAACATACGGCCTTGCAGTTTACGCTTCCACTGTACCCTGTGCTTTTCCTTCTCCGTCTCAGCACTTACCACTGAATGCAACCCCTTATCCATTTTCTTGGTGAGTTTCCTCTTCTAGATTCCCAACTCTAGTGGAGCAGGATCTCTGCATATAAGTTGGGACACTGAACAGCCCTTCCTTGGTGGGCTGCGATTCCTCTCTATCGGCTGGACGGGTCTGATTGCTGGGAGTGTCACGTGATGAGACTCTGCTGTCCTAGCTCAGGAAGGGGAGATAAAATGGTGGAGATAAAATGGTACAGAACTAATGGATTCGAAGTTGGCTTGTGCATAGCGTTTCAATAATCATTTTCAACAACTTGCATGCTTAAATTATTTCAATTTGGGGCTATTTACGTAAGCATACGGAAACTTCTAGGAATTTGCAGAGGATAGCCACCAATTGCCTTTATAAAATAGAATTGAAGCTCATAACCCTTAAAAGACATTTTAATTTTTATGCAGCCTACTCTTCCTTTGGAATTTCCAATTTAGGTCTCCTGACAACAAAGCACACGAACCTTCATATTTAAATTATAAAAATTAAACCAAGTTTCTAATGATGCCATCTTGGTTTATTTATTCTTCATATCTCTTACTGCAAGTGTCACAGATTTTTTTCCTTTTATTTGATATTTTGGGAAAACTACTCTTTATTTATAATGAAACATGGTACCTAATTTTAATGTACACATCACAAATGACCATGAATAATATTACACCTGATTTTGTGAGTCTTTGACTACAGTACACCAACAATGTTTTGGTTTCACATATTCATAACACATACATAAGCAGCTGGTCGATGCCATTAATATCTATTTCCAGAAGTTTACTTTTGTTGAGCTGGTAAATGAGCAGGGACTCACAGTGTCTTTGTGTCAAGGGACATGGCCAGCGTGAAAGCCGATTGCACCTGCTAGAGGAATCCTGTCTGCAGTGTGCTCTGCCCCGGCCACTATGGCTGGAATAACGCTGGTGACAGCCCCCTCCCTGGCAGGCAGTCCTTGAAATAATGCTTCCCCTGTAATGCTGACCATAATTAGCGCGTCTTCTACTTTTGGTGTTAGGATAATGCTGGACTCAGGGCATGAGCTTGGGAGTGTATCTCCTCTTAGCGTTTGGGGAGAGTCTAGTGTTAATTCTTCTTTAAATGTGGTAAGATTCACCAAGGAAACCATCTGCTCAGCACTTTTCTTCATTGGAACATTCTTGATGACTGATTCAACCTCCTTGTTAGTAAAACAAGCAACTGTTTTGTTTTCATCAAGATTTCTGTTTTTTGTTTTTGTTTTTGTTTTTGTTTTTTTTTCCCAGCATGAGTATAAAGCTTGTTCCTGGCACCCCAATACAGGCCACATATAAGGGTTCCATGCACTTAAACTTAGAGTGTCAAAACAGCAGAGAAAAATAATGTAAGAAGCATGGTTGTGATCAAACATGTTTGGGGGGTCAGTATCATGTCTTTTTCTGTTCTAGATAACTACAACACTGTGTTGCCTCCTAGTGAATCAGGCTGTAATCTAAATTAGAAATGATGTCTTTTCCCTCTCTTCTTTATTTACAGTTACGCTAAAAATCAATTCCATGATTTTCCAAAGTGTTATCCTCAGCTGTTATTGATTCTGTAAGTGGAACCACCTGGCACACCTGTATCTTTGCTTTTAACATCAGAAAATGTGAATAATCAAATTAATACTAATTTTCCCATCACCATTCTCAGCTCCCCTTATCCTTTTCCCAGCCTCTCCCTCTTAGCCTCAGGGCTCTCTCCTTGTTTATCAAAGTCACCTAAATTTGTAAGTCTTATGATTTGCAAATCATACTGTGTGCAAATGTCCAGTGTTTATTTTTACAATTCTGACTTGCTTTAGTACACATAATCCTCTCAACTGTTATCTTTTAAAAATACTTTTATTATCCAAGACATATATGCATATAATTTTATTTTTTAATTTTTTAATTAAAGATTTACTTATTGACGCATACTGAACTGGGGTACAGACCAGAGGTGCAGGGGTGGTGAGAGGCTTCACCAGAGACAGAGTGGGGAGCAGAACAGGCAGATTAGTGAAGTACACTGCTGAGGGGAGCAGCAGGGAGACAGGAGAGATCTGCTGTGCCACGTGGATCACCTCCCAGGGAGAGAATCAAACTCACACTGAAGCAGCTGCGGCCAGTTTACAGTGCTGCATTTCAGCCCGCTGTGACAGCAGGGAGGGCCTTATGCATATAATTTTAAAAAGCTAGACCATACTAAGTGAAAACCTAACACAACTTCTCCAGTTTCTTCTCTCTCAGCCTTTTTGTTGTTTGTATAGTATCTGTTCAAGCCCTACTTCTTAATTACGTGCCTAAATAGTTCTTGTCGACTTCATTAGTTGGAAGGGTTCTCTATCACCCTGCCACTGTGTCTGAAATCTTAACTCAACACTGTCATCACTTTGGCTTCTCCTTCTTCTCTTAGTATACTAAGATTGGGAATTTCATCACTGTCCAGACTTTGTTTTGAAGTCTTCTGGTCAATGCACAGTTGAACTCTGCTGAGATTGTGTTTTTTTCTTGCCCTTAGCTTTTCCTAAATTAATTATTGTCTTGTTTTTTCCTTTGGTGTGATTTCTCTGTATTGCACATTTTCATACATTCTATTAGTATATCTATTTAATATATAATTGCATTTCATGTGTCCAGAGTTAATCAGATTGTCAGGTTTGAGCACACAATCCCCAAGATTTTGATCACTTCTGACACCCACTGCAAATTCCCAAAACTTCCCTCAAATTGGGGAATCATGCATTTTTAAAACACTGATTTGCCAGAATGTCTCATAGAAGTTATTAAGAGATTTTCTACTCATAGTTACAGTTTATTCTAGGAAAAGAATACAGATTAAAATCAAAGACAAGAGATATATGGCACAGTCTGAGAAGGTTCCAGATGCAAAGTCTCTGTTGTCCTCTCCCCATGCAGCTGGGACAAGTTAGCCCCTTACCATTGGCGTGTGATAATATGCATAGAATATTGGCCACCAGGGAAATTCACCAAACTCCAACATTTAAACTCTCCTCAGGCTTCATTAAAAAACATGACTGATTGATTATTCTCATGGTTGAATTCACTACCTAGCTCAAGTGAGCCTTTTCACTACCTAGCTCAAGTGAGCCAAATTCCCCACCCTGAATCATAGGATTCATTTCTATAGTATGGCTGGTCATTATCCTAAAACTCAAGCTATGGACAGCCCTTGTCCTTTAAATAAGACATTCCTATTAGGTACAGCTTAGATTACTTCCCTTGGCCCTCCCTGGTGGCGCAACGGGTTAGGACACAACACTACAAGCTAAAGGCATCTGCTTCAGTGCAAGTTCGATCCCCATTTGCTCCGGAGGTGACCCACATGGTGCGGCAGACCTCTCCTGACCCACCCGCTGCTCCCCTCAGCAGTGGACTTCCTCATCCTGCCTGTTCTGCTCCCCACTTTGTCTTTGGTGATCCTCTCACCACCCCTGAACCTCTGGCTTGTACCCCAGTTCTGTATGAATGAATTAAAAAAAAAAAAATTACTTCCCTAAGCCCTCAGGCAAAAGTCTGCCCTCTCTGAGCAAAATCAAAATCAAGTCGTTTACTGCACACATTCGTCCCTTGTTTTGGTAGATTGCTCAAGAACGTCTTTTACATCGAAACAAGAACAATAGAGCATGAGAAGAGATGAGAACAATTGCCCTCTCCATGAGCATCTCCCGAATGAAGGGCTGGGCCCTTCTGCAGTGAGGTCAGTTTCTCTCCTAGACTATTTTTCAGCCCTTTTATATTTTCACCAATTCTGGTGTTATTTTTTCCTTCTGAATGTTTTCGAAAATATCTTTTCCCACACATCTTATTTTAATCCTTTGAGGCTATTATTGGGGTTTTCCCCTCAAGTAGTCAGTAGTCCCTTGTTTTGTGTGTGTGTTAGTCTCCAACTTGGCTAGTGGGAACATCCTCAAGTACCCTACAACCTTTTTATCGTCTGTACACATTATGGGAGGAGGGCTAACATGTTGATTACAAGCTCTGAGACAATAGGGATTATTTGTGAATTCTATACTTTGCTAAAGAATAATATGTAGTGACATATGGAAACCTCTGATATCAGTAAATTTCAGTGTCTCTTGAGTTGATGATATTCCTGTAACAAGCAACTTCATAAAAAGGGCAAGTAAATGACCACATTTCCATCCAGCCACCTTTACTAGCTACTAGGAGCAGGGCACAGAACTGAACATCCAGGTGAAGCTATGGAGTGTGGAAGGCAGGTGGGCTCTGGGGAGGCTTCTGCTCAGCCTTAGACTTACACCAGAGAGTTGGGTGACATGGAAGGAGACACTTGAAGGGTTGGGAGAGAGACTTGTGGGGAGGCTGACAATGGCCTTTATCCTGGTTTGTACTTTGATTTTGCTCCGTGCATCCCAGATGCACCCACTTCCTGCCGTCTCTTTCCTATGGGTTTCCTTCCAGAAGTTACCTTAGACCTGTGGTAAGATTTCAGGCCTCGGTGGTCCTGCTTTGGGTCCACCCTGTTTGCCTGGGCATGTACCCATGAGGAGATGGGGAACTTTGGGTGTTTTATTGGGAAACTGTCTCCTCTTGTCTTCTGACATACACCAATCTTATGTTCTTTCACACTCAGTGTATGTTTTGTGTTTGTGCGTGGACGGCAGGCGCCCATAGAGTGAGGCTCTTGGTCTGCATGTTCACACTGAGAGGAGAAATCTCTCCTGGTTTCCTTCTATGAGAATAAAGGTCTGGTGGCTAGAGGAGGAAGACAGCTGACTGGCTTCAGTTTCAGTTGGCCTCTTTGTTTACTTAATCCCCAGTTCAGATTGTCATTCAGGCCATTGTGTTTGGCCGACTCTAATCCAGAGAACTTGCTTCACCTCCAGAGAAAATGTCCCTCGTTTCATGGAAGTGACACATGCAGAGGGAGCTGTCTGTGTCTGTGTCAGTATCCTAAAGAGCTTTGCAGCTATGCTGTGCCCCTTAGAACTCCCTCAGCTCCTCCAGGTGCTCCTGGCTGCCTGCTCTGGGCCACCATGTGATGTTCCACCCTGAAAAGCAGGCTGTCCTTGACTTTCAGCCTTGCTGGTTTCAGATTTCACATTCCCTGATTGGCCAGTAAGTTCAGTCTCCTCAATATTATATTTTCTCCCAACTCCTTGTAAAGTTGTGTAGCTTTACTGGAGTTCCTGGAACGAATCAATCCTCACCTTTATCCAGAAGCACTTATTTTATAACTTTTTGTATAAGTTGCAGTAGCAGATGCTTTCAGTACCCCACCCATATGCTCACAGCGGTTACCTCTGCATGTGAACAGGGCTTCCTGCTAACAGCTGGGACGCTTCCTGAGGTCTCTTTTCCCCATTTCTTCTCTTATTTTTTGTGACTGGAAGTTTGGCCCGTGTTCAGTGCCCTTGGAAGCAGCCCCTCATTTGGCACAACTCTTGAGGCGCATTCTCTACTCTCTCACAAAGTCCCTCAGAGAAATTCACTGGCAACTGCCCACAGGGATAGCTAGTCAGGAGAGCATCTTCGATGGGTGTCTTCATCTCCCCTGCTTCATGCCCTCACTTTACTACCCTTTCTAGACTTTTCTCCCATTTTAGTTCATGGCTGATACCTTGTCTTTCTTTGTTTCTGAGGAGAACCAGACGTATATTTTCCTTGTTCTGTCTCCATTGTTACAGCATGTTCGACCTACCCTATTCTTTCTTTAGCTGGTTCATAATGATTAGGTGACTACAACTTTGGAGAGTGGGTTATTAATCTCATCCTTCCTGTTCTTGTTGTATTCTTAGGTCGCCATCATGACAGTCAAATTTGGTAGTTTGTTTTTTTCTGGCAAGTGACTTCCTCCTTCTGGAAGCTAATGCATCTCCACACTCAAGAAGTCATCCATGGAGGAGACATCACTTGATGTAAGTGTCCTGAATTTTCCAGAGCCATTCAACATCCCAGTTCTGTATACTTACTGCCTTTGAATCATCTATAGAGTAATAACAAGCTGAAAGCTGGGTGCCTGGTGATAAAAAAAAAAAAATCTCAATTCTGAATGAGCAAAAACGGAAATATATTACTCTTGTGTGACTCAAATATTTGGGGCATATGAAGTGATCTCTAAAAGCTTGCTACATAATGAGGAAGGAACAGATAAGAGCTTGGTTAGATGGATATTTATCCCAGGGCAAGGGAAACAAATTTTCTCAGCTCAAATTACTGAGCTGAGAATTCACACAGGAAACCACACTAGTTTATCAACTGATTCTGTTTATTTTTCAAAATCCTCCATGAGAAGGCCCTTTGTAAAGTACTATTTCAGAGTACCTGTGTTCTATAAAATTACTTAGACAAGCAGCCGAAAATCTTAGAGTAATATGGATTTTTCCCATTGAATAGTTCTACGATAATCAATAAAACATTTTTTCTCACAGCAGTAGACAATATCAATGTTTTAACTCTCTTTCTTCACTAACAACCATAATAAGCAATTTGAAGTATGAAAGGTCTCTTGTATTCCATGTCATTCTTTTTTATATTCGCAACATAAAATGACTCTGTTGTGTCCTCTACAAAACCGCCACGGACATTCGGAACCATATGTTCCTGTCTGGTGCACACCGTGACAGAGTGGAGAATATCAAAATCGGGCTGACAGTCTCCTGCAACAGCCACAGAAAATCTTCCAGAACACGTTGCACCCCAAACAACAAGCAAGTGGAACTCCCTCTCAGGTGCTGGGGTAGAGTTGCTGAGGGCACACAGAGGTTGGCCTGTTCTCTTTTTGAGTCACCCTGGAAATGCTACTTGCTTCTCTGCCTGTGTCTGCCAGGGCTCTTCCTCCTTCCAGCCTGAGACAGCTACTTCAGTGGCAAGCACCACGTGCTTAAAAGGAGATGGAGAACCAGTCACTTGTGGCTGGATCTTATGGCCCTCCCACAAGTGATTTACAATCTATGCTGCACAACTATAAGTCTTTGCCATCACTTAGAATAATTTATATTCTAGGTAGTAGAGGAAACTGAGTCACTAGGAGATGTCAATATTTTTGTTCTAAAATTACAAAGCAGATTTGTTCCACCCACATTTCCCTTCTCTGCCCACTCCAATGTGCTGTTTCTCGATGCACAGTTTTATTTATCAATGCATTCATTTACCAGTGCTCTATTCTACTCTATTCTACTCTACTCTACTCTACTCTACTCTACTCTACTCTACTCTACTCTACTCTACTCTACTCTGCTCTACTCTACCCTACTCTACGCTACCCTATCCTACCATCACCTACTCTACCCTACTCTGCTCTACTCAGCTCTATTCAATTCTACTCTACCCTACTCTACCCTATCCTGCCCTACCCTACTTTACCCTACTCTACTCAACTCTACTCTACCCTACCCTACCCTACTTTACCCTACTTTACCCTACTCTACCCTACTCTATTCTACACTATTTTACTCTATTCTGTTCTAGACAAGATAAAATGACTCTTCCAGAAAATTGAAAGATGTGATTCAAAAATGAGCCAAAGACTTAAGGTTGTGAATTACCTCATAAGTCACGTGTCTATATTATTTCAAAGTGGGGTTCAATCTAATGATGAAGTCCACCCATGGCAGTGGAGTCTTGCTTCCCTTATTTTCTCTCCCTCCTAAAAGAACCTCCTACCTTACAACTTTAGAGATCTTTGCCTGCCTTATTTGTATTTGGTTTCTAAGTCATCCTCATTCACATGAATGATGTTGGTTGGCATGAGGAAGTATATAAAAAATTCCTAAAAAGAAATTACTATTATCTACACAATATCATTTTCAATTTTTCCACATCTAAGAGGAGAGAGGAAAAGAAAGATCCAAACATACATCCAAAGACAAATATCGTACTTAATAATATAAGTGTGTGAATGAGTATTTATGCCATTAAAATATAAAATGGATGTTTCTTATTCAGTAGCAGCAATTTGTGGGCTCCAGAGTTAGCAATGATAAAATTGTCTAAAATCATAAACAGTCTATATGTTAGTCATGGGTGGTGTTATTTGATTCAAAATACTCTTAATTTGCCTCTTTTTCCTTTAATCACTTTCAGGTTAGAGAGAAGAGTGACAAGAAGCAGCAAGAAGACAGAACAAAAAGCTTCCATAATCATAGAAATGTTCGAACAGCCAGCTAACTGCATTGCACCTCTCAGCCACAGAAATAGTGCAGGTGACTCTTGTTTTTGACAAAACGTGGGAACCACAGGACCTACAACACTTACAAGCAAAAACTCAACAAGTCTAATAATAGTTACAGAAGTGAAAGCCAATTTGGATAAAATAAGCCATCGACTCAAATCCCCTGAGACAAGATTTTCAAAAACCAAAGTTTACAAAAATCTCATTTTGCTTTTTGAGATATTGCATTTCTGTTTTGCACCTTAGCTCTCTCTGCATTCCTTTATGAATGGGAGAATTTTTCTGTAGCATTTCTCTCCATTTGACATCTTGAAATGTGACTTTTTTTTTTCTATTTTTATCATAAAGCAACTCAAAGGGTATTTTATGCTCTCACCACTTGGCTGACCATGGATCTTGAGCTTGGCTTCCTTGAGAAAGATACAGGAGCAGTAGCGGTGGGGTGAACTTGTGGCCTTCTCTCTCCATATCTGATGAGCTATCCAAGGTGAATAGATGAAAACATAACCTCAGTATCTATTAGCCCATTCGATAAGGGGAATTGAGTGTGATTTGTACAGAACTGATGCAAACTCCTCTCTGTTGCTGCCTCTTGGACTAGGCTATGGTCCAAGTTCATCCACTAGTCCGTGTCCATGTGCAGAGGAAGCTCATAGATTGCTCTGTGTTGACACAATTTCCAGAATGTGCAAGCTGTTCCTCCCTGGAACAGCCCACTTTGGACATACTATTTGAATTGCATTTGTGCATGTTGATTTTCGCAAGTCAGTTTAATGTACCCTTTGTTAATTTGAAATAATAATTAAGTGATTTTTTTCAAGAGTTGTGGAAGAGACCACACTGTTCTAGACACCAAGGGGTGTTGGTGTGTCAGGGAAGAAAGAAGACTCTGTACCTGTATTTGTTGGGAAAATAGCTTTTGTTGGCCTCTGTCTCCAATCTCCAGCTCTGTTTAATGAAGGAGCTGGGACCTATGTTCTTTAAGATCTTACTGTTTGTAGTTTATTGTCTATAGTTTCCTTGTTCTTCTCCCTTGCTCATTCCCTCATTCTCCTAATGAGCTCTGAGAAATCTGACATGGTCCCACCGGTATTTTAGCAAGGTCACTATTGCAATGAGGAAACCAGCCCCGGAAGGGAGCATGGGGTTGCCATGATGGGGTGAGAGACAAATGTACAGATCTACTTTGAAGGTCAAGCTGGAACTTGGCAGCACCCAGCAAGGTGTCTTCAGGTTTTGGCTGGGCAGCAGGGGAGGCTGTCAGCTGTGGTAAGCTTGGCAAGTGCTGGGCACCAGGCCTGCACCTGCTCACCAAGCTGTGCTTCCTGAAGGCAGAAGACAGTTGGGTGCCAACTTCATGAGATACAGGTTCCCTCAGTGCTTTACCAAACACCTGCAGTGTGGGTAGTGTTCAGGCGGGAGCCCCTGAGTCCCATGAGTGTGATGCCCAACCACAAGGGGCACCTCTGACCTGCTCCCACCCCCATTCCTAGGGCCCCCCACCTGACGTAGGGCTGGAGACAGCTGTTCTTGAGGGTCTGCTCAGAAGGGCTGTCTGTAGGCCTGACTGTCCAGGACGGCTGTGCCTTCTCCAAGAAGCCTCTGAGACGGTCACCATCCCCAGCCAGACATGAGCCCACAGACACCACCTCCCTTCCCACTCCCTCCAACATGGGGAAGGGGTCACTATGAAGAGTGGCCAGTGGGGTCTCTGTGGGTCTGGATTCCTTCAAAGGAATTCACTCTGCCTTCTACCTGCACTAGTTATCGCTTGCCTATACGCATAGGTCCAACAAGGCGTTAGGAAATAAAGGCCTCTCCAATGTAGATAAAAATGAGGCAAGTGTGGTCACCTGTGGGTAAATTGATGGTGGGCTGATTTCACAGTGGGGTGTAGGGAGAGGTGAATGGACTGAGACAATACATAGGGTGTAACCCTTCTGGAAGCAGCTTCCCTCATTTGGTTTCTGTGAATGAGGAGAAAGGAGATGTCAAGGAGGGAGCTCAGGCTTCAGGGGAAGGTGATATGTTTAGCATCTGTGTCTTTCCTAAGATGCAGGACTCCCTGGAGCAGCCACTTAGAGGAACAGAGGCAAAAGCTTCATCTTGGATGGTGATTAGAATTCCCTGAAGATTTCCGTACCAAGGCTTCTCCTAGCTGCTACCTGGAGTCTGTCTCACATGTCATGGTGCTCAGTCTTAAATGATTTATTTCTGTGTACTCTCAATCTCTATATTTTCTCTCTATATATAAAATACTGCTGATTTGTAGGACTCATGTGGTTTCTACACAACTTTATTTTTCTTGCAAAGAGTTATCCTTTCTTTTTCTACATTGTATCTCTCCTTTTAAAAAAAAAATTCTTTTATTTATTTATGCATACAAGAACTGGCTTATATAGACCAGAGGTGTGGCGAGTGAGAGGATTCATCAGAGAGAACAGGCAGATCTACTGAAATACACTGTGGAGGGGAGCAGCGGGGAGACAGGTGAGGTCTGTTGCGCCACATGGGTCAACTCCCTGGCTGGGGATTGAACTCATGCTGCAGTGGCTGTCAATAGCTTCTTAGTGCTGAGACTTAACCCCTTGTTTCACCAGGGAGACGCCTACATGTGTCTCTTAACCATATCCTACTTACTTATTTTGTGTGATGTTACTGGCTTAAGAAGCCTATCTGCCATCCTCAAATGGCATCCCCAAAACTTCTGAAAAATAAGCATCCACACATTACTCGGCAGTGTCTCTTTGCAAAGGATCTCTTTGCAAAGGAAAAGAGGTAACAGCTACTGGGAAGCCTACCAATGGCCCCCCAGACTGTTGCATATCCTCAGGAACAGGCTTGAGATTTTCATCTGTTCACAAGGAATTTAAAAAATATTCATATGGGGTGGCACCAGTCTGAATGTCTTTTTGTTAGCAATACCAGCACTTGAGTTTTCCCCAGTGCTTTGAATGCTGAAGCAAGTGTGCCTCCTGATCTTGATTAATATTTCAGAAAAAAACAAAAACTTTACCAAATTTTGAAGTGCAAAACACCTCTGAAAGATTATTTGGAAATTGTATCAAAATAGGCCTTCCACACAGAAAATGAGAAATGTCCCTTTAATCAGAATGACAGCAGGAATTTAGGAAGGCACAATTTAATGTCATTAAAATTGGAAAAATCACTATTTAATCAGACTCATGTTATACTTCTTGAAGAAAATACAATGAGGATCTTTTCATTTCAGATGAGTTAATAATTTTATCTTTACATCGTTTCTGAGTCTGCTCTAATTAAAAGTTTGAAGATTAACTTGAGGAAACAGTCTACATTTCCTTAGTCTCCATTGCAATCTTTTACTTGGAAAGAATGTTCACAACAATAAGTGGAACTTCAAAAAATGATATTTTAAAGAATAATGTAAATGTGAGGGACCAAAAATATTGAAGAAGCAATATGGTATCTGCGACAGTTCATTCTCTTTCCACTGCTGCTTGTCTGTTGACTTTTTTTTTTTTGATTCAGGGAAACAATTTCATCATTAGCATATCCCAACTCTACATGGTGTATTTAAATTGCAAGTTGTGCATTGCTACTGCATGTCAGATTTCCCAGCTTTGATTCTCCTAATTAAGCATAAACTTAAGATTAGGGTCTCAGTTTAATAAGCAAAGAAAACACACATAAAACAGTTGTTCTACTTGGTGTCAGAAAAGAAAAAAATAATGCTGGAAAATAAATTGTATCACATATTAAATGAGAGAAACCATGCTTGAGGAGAACTAATTTAGCATACCAATGTAAAGAGGGAAGTTTTTAATTTGTTGCAGTAATTACACCTCAGATATGGATGTAAATGTTAGTTTCCACAACTGCTGGTGCTGTGTGATGCAAGACCAGAAGCATGGACCTGGAATTTACTCCCCTGATACCTTTTTGCCAATAATCACGACAAAAGAAATTACTGTTCACTGATTACAGTATATGCTGGTTGCTTTATGCATGTTATCTTTAATCCTCACAACAATCTTTTGAGCTAGTTTCTGTTATGACTCTTCTCTCTTTTTAAATGAGGACTTGGAAACAACAAAAGATTAAGCAAATTGCCCCAAATCAATTACATGTGGAGCCAGGATTTAAACCAAGTAGCATAATTTATGAGTTTGTGCTCTTCAGAATGTCATGTTCTAGTGTCAGGATTTGTGCTTAGCTACTGTTATTGATGATCTCTCTATTTTCTTTCTCCAGAAAACACATTTTATGGTTGTTTGTCTTGTACTGATCCAGTATCCTTTTGTTTTCAACCGGGACAATTTCCTCTATAATTTTCTATCCTTTAATTACGTTTCCTACTTCCACACTTGTCTGATGCCAGTAGACATGAAAACAAATGCTAGTAAGTTGGGAGAGCCATGATTCAAATCAAATAATGCAATGTGTTTTATTTCCCTTGTCTCATTCCCTATGAAGGTCTTTGTGCCCCAGAAAAACTGAGTCTCTCTCAGTTTCACTTTCCTCATTTATAAGATGGAGTGTGGCAGGCATTAGGTGGTCTTCACGGACATTGTCATCTCAGTAGCTTATTCACCATATACAGTCATTATTCTGGACCAACACAGAGCTATGGAAGTAGATCTATGGCAGAGGCTAATAAACATTGACTTAACAGAAGTTTCCATGGCTAGCACTGTTCTTGGATTCCCATGGGATGCTAGGCTGAGTCAGGTATGGCAATGTCAGTAGTTTGAGAGGTGATCTCTGGTTCTACCAGTGTAGGAAAGTGGACTGGGGACATGAAGTGTTATCAAATATATTCCTTAATCTCACAGGGGAAATATAGGCAAGCCACAGAACACAGGGAAGAGCAAACTTAGCTGGGGCTTGATTGACTCTGTGGATAGAATGGGTCAGGACGTCAGAGGAAGTGTCCAGGCAAAGAAATGTAAGCATCGATAGTGAAAGCCTGAGATGCTCATACTTAAGGAGTAGATGAAGTGGACTTGTCTGGAACATTTCCTCAAGGGTATGTGATCCCTTGAGATTGAGAGGGAGCCTTAAACATTTGTTTGTTCTTCCAGGTAGCATTAATTTTTATGTTCTGAAACAGTACAGTTTTCTTCCTAGTCTTAGCAAATAGATTGCAGAGAATACTTTTGGGGGGGGATGGTGGTGGTGGTGATTATGTTACTTTCTATCATT